CATTTTTAAGAAACTTATTAACAGAATTTTTTTTTTTCTTTTTTTTTGTCTGAGCTGCTTGGCACGCGGGATCTCAGTTCCCCAACCAAGGATGGAAGCTGCGCTCCCTGCAGTGGAAGAGTGGAGTCTTAACCACTAGACCGCCAGGGAAGTCCCAAGAAACTTATTTCATAACTACCGTCTTTCTTTCTAAAAATTCCCTTTGAATACATATATATATTTTTTTTTTTTTTTTTTCGGTATGCGGGCCTCTCACTGTTGCGGCCTCTCCCGTTGCGGAGCACAGGCTCCGGACACGCAGGCTCAGCGGCCACGGCTCACGGGCCCAGCCGCTCCAAGGCGTCTGGGACCTTCCCGGACCGGCGCACGAACCGGTGTCCCCTGCATCGGCAGGCGGACTCTCAACCACTGCGCCACCAGGGAAGCCCCCCTTTGAATATTTTTGAAGTCAAAATTTTCCAATGAAAAATAACTCCTACCTGTTATATCGAAGGCAACATGGGAGTGCCTCAGAGCCCGGTATTTTTTCCATAAGCTTCTTTGCCGTAAACGTTTGCCTCAAGCATTTTGCCGCAAAACTAATTGGCCGTAAGGCAATTTTGCCGTGAAAGATACAATTGGTTGACAGTTTTTGGTTCAACAGTTTGGTTTCAACTGGTTGAAATACATTAGCATTTCTTCCAGTTAGCGACGTTACTGATGGCTTTGTCCAGCTGACAGATGAGGATGATTTGCCTCAAGAGTTGGTTTCTTATTTTGAAACACACTACATTGGAGGAGAAAGAGGCCAGGGCCTCCTAGGTGCAGAGTTGAATGCAGATTCCTACAGGACTTTAGAATGTCAACGGACATGTGACAATATGCCAAGAACAAACAACAGTGTAGAAGGCTTTCACAATGCAATACAAAGCTCAGGTACAAATATACATCCTAGTATTTGGAAACTGATACCTCTCAATGAAAATTTTGGCAAAAAAGAAAAAGTGTGATGCCAGATAAGGACATGAATCAACAAGCAAAAAAAAAAAAAAGCATTAAATACTAGGAGAAAACACTTGGAAGACAAGTGCTTAGGTACAACCCACAAAATAAAATCAGTTATTTATGCAGAACTGCCATGAATCAACACATTTTAAATGTATTCAAATATTTTATATTTCACAAGTTTTTAAATTTTGTTATTCATTTCTCATATTTCATTACGTCCTTTTAAATGTCCCTCTTTTATTTTTTGTTACTGTATATTTTATGGAAAAACTGCCTTACAGCCAATTAGTTATGTGGTGAAAATGTTTGCAGCAAAGATGCTTGCAGCGAAAGTATTTAGAACCATGTCAATCATGGGGAACATGTAACAATCAGAAGTACTGCTTCCTTACTATTTGAAGTCTAGCAAAATCATCTCCCTTCCAGAGATCTGTATGGTTGAGTCAAAACATGTGAAATAAAGTAGACTATGTTGATTCCATACACTGTGCTATGAATAGATGAATCACTACATCCCTTCCAGGGAACACTGCCTCCATGTTTTCTTTGAGATTCCAAAACTGTGGAACTGTTAGAGTGTTTGGGGAAAATATTGGCAGAGGAAGCAAGAAACCTTCGATTAGACCCTATAGGACACATCCCCACCTGCATCACATACCACTTTACCTGACTGTTGTCTTCTGCTTCTCTCCTCTGCACTCAGCTCCAGTTACACTGGTGTCCAAGTCATTCCTTGAACAAACCAAGCACACTTTGGCCTCATCGCTCTCTTCCTGGAGCATTCTCCCCTAAGATATCTGAATGTTTCTCTCCCTAATCCCTTTCCAGGCTTGGCTCAAAGGTCACTTTCTCAATGAATTATGCTTGGACCACCCAATTTAAAATGTTAACTTGCGTCCTATAAGGCACTACAATCCCCCTTACCCTGCTTTATTTTTTCTTTTTTTAAAAATCACATTATCACTTATCAAATCCTTTATAACTTTCCTATTATGATTATGGCTTATCATTTCTCTCTCTCCACTTGCACATAGTAAGTGCTCAAGGTTTGCTGAATGTGGAATGCAGAGCATGTTCTGCCACATAGGGCATTTCCTTACCGTGCATCCTGACACCTCTGCGCCAACCCAAGGAGCCTATTCACCATTCTCCTTGCTCTCCCTAACTTCCATGTTTTCCCTCTGAACATATTTTAACTACAGTGGTCTCCGTACTTCACTTCCACTTGTCAGAATCCAACTGTCTTCAAAGCCTGCTCAAGTTCTACCTCCTCTGTGAAGTCTTCCCAGATTCCACTAGGGAGGATCAAATCCTCTTTTCTTCTTTCCCATTAAAACTGGACCTTAGTTACAGCGTTCACCACAGTTATTTGTGCATCTCTTTTTCAAGCTGTTCAAGAAGCTCTAGTCTTCTAAAAATTGTCTATATATTCCTCTTAGAGCCCAGCATAGTGCCTGACCCTTTATAGTCACTCAACTATATGTATGAGAGTGAACTGGCCATAACTTTCTGGTTTTGTTTTTTTACTAGGCAAAATATTAGATATAAGTAAGCCTTATACTTTGTAGAGAAAGGTACTTAACTACTGCCAACTCAGTGCAAATAGATTCGGTCTGCTGAAATATGAGATTTCCAACTTAGTGGCATTTTACTGAGCAAAGAGGCAACATTAAGAACTCATTATTTCCCCCGTGATGCTTATACAAAATTATATTTATCTTCCCCATAAAATAAATGGAAATTTTCCTTTCTGGCTTGGTAGTCTTGGTTTTATAAATATCCTTCGATTTAGTTATCATGAGTTTTAATGCTTCCTTAGGAAGAAATCACAACTGCTTTCATGGAATCCAAGTCCTTCTCCATCTCTTGGTTACCTCTGGTTTGGCCTCATCTTCTACCATGTCCTAACACAACATCCTTCACTCCAGCCATAATCAAACCTGATTTCAGAGCTAATCTGAGTTCCATGGACCCAGGAGAGTCAATGAAATCCTTTTAGAGCTCTATGACTCCCTGAACTTTTAACGTTTGTGAGTATATGAGTATGTGCATTTTCCTTGAGAGAGGACATCAGATTCTCAAGGGGCCCACAATTCCAAGGAGATGAAGAAACACTCACTCTACTTCCTGTTCCCTGCTGTATTATACCCTTAAATAAACCCTTGGCTTTGCAGAGAATATATTAGGGGCTTTGGTGGCTTGAAAATCCTCTAAATGTGGTAAAACTGAAAGGAAGAAGAGTTTCAAGGATGTAGACTCAAGAAACAGTCACTGAGAACTTGCTGAGTATCTGGTACCATGCTAAGGAGAAGGTGAATAGGGGAGCCTCTGATTACTCAGCCTCTAGGGGGAAGGGAGACTGTTTTAGGAAAAAGGCTTAGACTTTAAGAAAGATACTATATTCCAGGAAATGATTCCAAAAGGACATTCTTAGTAATTTAATATGCTGCACAGAGATGAGTGAAATACCTAAAAGTTTGCTATATTCACGTTACTGAGTATATACAGATGTCAGAAGATCTTTTAAAACAATGTTATTAGAAGGAAGTAGCTGCATTGGGGATTAGAGCAAGATTAGTTTATAATAAAATATAATACTTCTGACTTTCTCATGACCTACAGGTTCCTTATCTACTGTATAATAATAACTGACAGTCATAACAATGAATAAAGGACAGAAAAACAATGTAGACTGAATCATTTGGACTACAATATTTTGTAGCACGTATTTTATTATATTCTTATTCAATAGAATGGGCATACTTTACATGGCATAACTAGCTTTACACAATATTAATTGAAATATGTAATTAGCAAGAATGCAACTGCCCTCCAAACACGCAAAAGAGTATTTTAAAATAGAAATAACATTACGTAAATGAAATTGTTCAGAGGAATCACTTGTATTTTTAAATAAGAAAAATTCTTCTGTTTTAATTTTCTTATTATATTTCACCCATTCATTAATATATTAATCATTTAATAAACAATTATTGATTACCTCCTATGTACTGAACTAGGTTTGGGGGAGATAAAGTAAATAGGTTTGGACTTAGTGTAAGAGACAGAAAAGTAAACAGACTATTCCAGAAGGGTATGATAAGCATTAAGGCAGAGATATATGTGTATTCGAGGCTGTAGGAACACAAAGGAAGAGCATCTATGTTAAGCTGAGGGGTCAGAGAAGGTTTCCTTGGGGAGGTGATGCTTCACATGGGTCTTACAAACAGGTGCGAAACATTAAGGTACATGGCACATTTAGGAAATGCCATGTTTGCTATTGCTGGAGTGATGAATACATGTTAGAAGGCAAAAGAATAAATGTTAGAGAGCTAAGCAGAGGCTAGGTTACAAGGTTTCATGTTACATGTTACCAGGTTACATGTTCATGCTAATGAGATAACTCTTTGTTCTAAAGGGAATGGACATCAATGACAAGGTTTACCCAGGGAAGTGATATATGATCAGAACAGCACCTCAGAAGCTCCCTCCAAGGCCACAGTATGAAGGACAGATTGAAGGGAGGTAAGACTGGAAAGAAAATAATTACTCAGAAACAGTTGTAATGATTTGGGAGAGAAAAGAAGCAGCTCTGCACTAAGGCAGGAGCAATGGTGATGAAAAAGAAAGATAGAGGGGGAAAAGAAGAGGGAGAAGCAAAGAGGGAGAGAGTGGTTGATGCTGACTTAGAAGGTGGAAATGGTAGGATGTGGTGAAGAAGGTGGAAATGGTAGGATCTGGTGACTGAATGGGATGACAGAGAAGGCTGGGTAGAGTGGGTAAACAGTGGTGCCATTTACCAGATGGGCAATGTCGAAGAGGAAAATTTGGATGATGATGAGTTTGAAGTGCTTGTGAAATAACCAAATTGAAACGAGTGAACAGTTGTTACGTGTCTAGAGACCAGTAGAGAGGCCAAAACAAGAGATAGAAATTTGGGGATTTTAAGTAGAGATGTATCAGTTGAAGTCATGGGCATGGATAAGCATGTTTAAGAACGTAAGGTAGGGACTTCCCTGGTGGTCCAGTGGTTAAGACTCTGCTTCCAATGCAGAGGGCCAAGGTTCGATCCCTGGTCAGGGAACTAGATCCCACATGCCGCAACTAAGAGCCCGCATGCCGCGATTAAAGATCCCACATGCTGCAACTAAAAAAAAGATGCCACATGCTGCAACCAAAAAGATCTCACATGCCGCAACGAAGATCTCGCAAGCGGCAACAAAGATCCTGCGTGCCGCAACTGAGGCCCAGCGCAGCCGGATAAGTAAATAAATAAATAAATAAATTTTAAAAATAGAATGTAAGGTAAGGTAACTAGAGGGTCAGAGCCTGAGTCCTGAAGAAACACATTATTAAAGGGAGTGGGTGGCTAAAGATAGATTTGTAAAGATGACAGAAATAACAGTTTATTTAAAAAATAAATTTTTATTTATTATTAAAAGAGAAACCACAAATCCTGGAAAGAAGGATTCTGGAAACCAAAGAAAAAGATTTTAAGTAGCAGAGAATGTTCAACATTGCAAAAATCAATAGGATTATCAGGAAGTATAATGACAGAATTGTAGCTACTGGATTTGGCCATATGGAGGTCAATAGTCTCTGTGACCAGAGGAATCTCACCAGAGAATCCAAAATCCAGCACTAAGCTAACCATAACCGTAACTCTAACCCTAATCCTAACCCCATTAGTGTGTATCTACAATATAATATACATATTAAAAAGTCCAGGTTTATACTGTGAGCAAGACAGGTGCACAGACCACAAGTGATCATAGGAACTCTGAAAACAGGAGAGCCAGATGGCCCCAGTGTTTTCTGCGTCTGCCACTCCCAACAGACCTGCTCAGAGACTAGCTGAACTAAGGTTCAAAGCAGTCAGGGTGCTTTCCATCAAGTCACAGAGGCCAACCAGCTTAAGCACAAAGCATGCTGGGATAGGTCATGGTATCAAAGGACAAGCTGAACAACCAGAAAGGCAGGAACCAGGGCAGCCTCAGGGCCAATATCTCAAAAGACAATTCACTATTTTACCAGCTGACTGAATGGCCACTTCATTTAAGGCTGGATTGCTGAAAGTCAATCCACCAAATAACAAGTTCACTGAATCTACTTGTTTCTTTTTCCTCTTTTAAATTGGAGTGTAGTTGCTTTACAATGTTGTGTTAGTTTCTGCAGTACAACGAAGTAAATCAGCTATACGTATACATATATCCTCTCCCTCTTGGACCTCCCTCCCACCCCACCCTGCCATCCCACCCATCTAGGTCACCACAGAGCACCAAGCAGAGCTCCCTGTGCTATACAGCAGGTTCCCACCAGCTATCCGTTTTACACATGGCAGTGCACATACGTCAATCTCATTCTCCCTATTCATTCCCACCTCCCCTCCCCACGTCCACACATCCATTCTCTACATCCGCGTTCTCTATTCCTTCCCTGCAAATAGGTTCATCTGTACCATTTTTCTAGATTCCACATATATGAATATACGATATTTGTATGGTACATATATACATTGGAATATTACTCAGCCATAAAAAAGGAACGAAATTGGGTCATTTGTAGAGACGTGGATGGATCTAGAGTCTGTCATACAGAGTGAAGTAAGTCAGAAAGGGAAATACTTGCTTCTTTTAACAGTTTGAAATGGTTTACAGAAATGTGTATTGGATGGGGTAGAGATAAGAGCTTGTGAAAAATTTATGCCATGTTTTAGCTGACCAGTTTTCTTTCTTTTTCTCCATTAGAGCATTGTCAAGAGAGTTGAATTTGCCCCAGATACCCATTGTTAGAACTGCAGGGAGCTGGCCAGAGAAGGGGTAGAGGGCAAAGAACGCACAGCAGGAAGAGAGCAGAGAGGAGACTCAGTGCACCTCAGAGCTGGTGCAGTGGACAGACTGAGGGGAAAATGAGTGGGTGGAGAACGAGGGGCAGAGATGGAGACAGAGGAGGAGAGGGAAGGGGAGTATGAGAGATATGGTCTGAAAAGCATCTGTTTAAATCTGGGAGAAGATCATCAGTGATTTTAAGGAGATGCAAGGCGAGAACAATGGACTTCATAGTTCTGAACTCTGATTTTTATTTTCTTACCAACAAAGAGATACCAGATAGCGTCTGAGACTAGATAACCAATATGGTTTGAACTTTTTAAACTTACTTTTACAAACATATCTAATATATTCAGGGACAGTCACTCATTAAGTAACTGTTCTGACTCATCTTTAGAAGGAATTGTTTTAATGTTCTCAATTCTTTTGGGACTAATTTTTGCTTATATTTAATCTATAAAGTTTCATATTCACTGAGTTCAACAATAATTTATGAAGTTGCATGCATAAATAATAATCTGATTTTTCTCTTAAGTAAAATAATTCACTTAAATTAAAATTTAATATGTTCCTTCACATACTAAATCAGACTGAGCAAATTATCCCTGTTTCTAATTAACTATACCAACACCTGTTCACAGTAAGGCCATATGCTTGTGACGAGGACAGTCAGTATTGATAAACCTCAGAGGCAGGCTGCCTGGGTTCCAACCCCAGCTTCATCGCTTATCAGCTGTGTGACTTTCGGCAAGTTACTCAACCACTCCATAACCTATTTTCACAAGCTAAATTGCAGCAATAACAATACCGGCCTCGTAGGGTTTGTGAGGATTAAATGCATAAATATATATAAATCTTTTAGAACAGTGCCTGACCTAAAAAGTAAGCACCATTTACTCTTTTTACTATTATTATTACCATTTTGATATCAATTTTATTGTTAAAGTGGTAGTTAGAAGGGATGAAAAAGCTGCAATATATGGTTTCTGCCTCAAAGTAGCTTAAAATTCATGGAAGAGAGAGACTGTCACACACACACACACACACCCTAACAGCATGTTGAGAGGGACCTTTTATATTACAGGAAGGGAGCAATATTGTACTAACAACAAGCCCCCCAGATATGTTCCTCTTCTCAGAGAGGCAGAAGCAGCTACCAGAGCCCCCATTCACTAACTTTTTCTCTGTCCTCTATTCCCCCAAGTGCACAGATGAACGATCCTGAGGGTCAGCCTTAGACTTAATGGCTATGCACTCTTTGTGGTTAGAGGTTACTCATGCCTGTCCCAACCATAAGAGAAAGGCAAGAATAATTTTTTGCTAAAGCCAAGCATGTCAGGGGAGGAGGAGACTCATGTACAGCAGTCGGTGAGGAAACCTGGCTGGCTGATTCCTGAGCTGGAGTTGAGAACCGTGAGAAAGTTCTCAGGTGAGGTCAATATCCACCCCCTGAAATGTAGGATAATAATAAATACAGAACCTGGTGCCCATTTCTGGGCTAGGGTTGTCCGAAAGCAGAAAGGTCTTCAGAGTAGTGTATTGTCAGCAAGTCTTAAAAGGACTAATGTCCATTACACTTGTGAAGAAAAATGGTGGGGCAGCCCCTTCTAAGTTCCCAGAGGCCATCAGAGGGGACAGAAGAAGCCTCCTATGACTCCTGTGGCCCCATATGAAGGAGCAAGGAAGACAGAGGAAGGGCAGAGACAGATGTGGAAGTACCAGAAGGAACTGGGAACATGGCCTTCTGGAAGCACTCAAGGGAAACTAGCTGTCTTTCTCTGCAGGAGTTGTCAGCAATAGAGGTCATCAAAAGGAGAATGAACAAAGCCCTCACTCCCCCACCCCCACCCAAATGTAACATCTACACGAAGACCATTCTCTGAGTAGATCACAGATGGAATCAGAGCAGCTTAGTTACAGACAAGGTTTGCTTCCACTATTCCTCTCTCTCCCTCTTTCAAGAGACTGGACCTTGAAAAGGAAGAGGTAATGAAGATCTAAAAGGCAGACCCTCCTACTCTCCAAAGTCCAAGTAGCCAAGATCACAATCTGCAGCTGGGGGGAGGGAAGAAAACAATGAAATCAGATATGATATTGGAAGTTAAACAGGATTAGACTAATTATAATAAACCAAAGTGACCAGAAAGTGATGGTGACTGGCCAAAATGGACTGGAAGGAAACAGGAAATTCAACAAACACAGTAGGTTGACAGCTGTGGCTAAAGAAATAAAAATATAATGTTTCCATGTTAGTATATTCTTTATTTATTTATTTATTTTTGGCTGCATTGGGTCTTCGTTGCTGAGCGCGGGTTTTCTCTAGTTGCGGCGAGCGGGGACTACTCTTCGTTGTGGTGCGCGGGCTTCTCATTGTCCTGGCTTCTGTTGTTGCAGAGCACCGGCTCTAAGCGTGCAGGCTTCAGTAGTTGTGGCACACAGGCTTAGTTGCTCCGTGGCATGTGGGATCTTCCCCGGCCAGGGCTCGAACCCGTGTCCCCTGCATTGGCAGGCGGATTCTTAACCACTGTGCCACGAGGGAAGCCCTGTATATTCTTTAAAACAGTGTTTTGAAGAGAAGAATTAAAAGCACTCACGGACCATCAGCGTATAGCCGCAAAAGTGAAACTTAAATATATCTTTCATCATAAAAAAGTAAATTTAGCCATGCTATCAAGCATAAAATATTTGGAAATTGACTATTTAAGACAGCAACAATGTAAAATAATGTGTTGCACAGATTGAAGGTTCATACAAATGACTGGAATCATACACTGATTAATTTAAATTGATTAAAGGAATTATGGTGAATAACATGGAAATACCCCAGGTACTGTCCACATCACTTTAATCTCTTCTCATCATCTTGTTTGAGAAAAATGAGGTAAATTGCAGAAGGGATTCAAGAACTCCACTGAATATTCCAATATTATACCAAGTAAGTATCACAGTTGGTCTCTAAAATATAGTTGGTCCACATTTTTTCTTTAAATGTTTTATGCTGTTTCAATGGTTTTTTTTCGTTTCCCCCTTATATCAGAGAGATCATCATTTTACGCTCTTATGCCAAACTATATTTCTCAACCAATACATAGGTACTAGGCTCTCTCAAATATCTGGCACCACAAGGAATAAAACAAATCTAAAATAAAAAGAAAAGCAAAAATAAAATTTATTTATTACAGCCATTATTTCAAAAATTTGAATCAAATGAAAGACATTATTTGGGCTAGTCAGTGGTTGTTATAAAGTCACTGAT